AGGCCCGCGGTTGTTGGTGTATATAGTATGATATATATAAGTAAGTAAGTAAGTAAGTCCTGCATGCCCGTAGGCGGCCTCTTAGAGGAGCAGGCAAAGAACGCAACTTTACATGGTGTCAAACTGCATTTGAGCATGATATATATATATATATATATATATATCGTTTGTATAGGCATATAGGTATACATATATATATACATGCGTATAATTGTATTTATTTACATAAATTCCGCGTAGGCGCGGCGTAGGCTCCGCGTAGCTCGCGCGTAGGCGCAGGTGTCGTCTTCCGTCGTAGCCCATCCATCAACATCCGAATTTTGCTGGGTTGGGCAGAAGTTCGGAAATCGGGCAAAGTTGCCGCAGAAATCTTAGGGTTTTGGGCTTAGGATTAGGGTTTAGGGCGAAACGCTGCGTTTGTGCTTGCTCAAGGGCTTGCCACGCAGGTCCGCGTAGGCACGCGTCAACAACATACTCCGCGCGCAGCCGCGCAGCTACTAACATGAGTTCACGCGTAGGCCCGCGTAGGATGGCAATGCTAGTATAACACCCCACACAATGAAATAACAAATTGCTCACCTGAACTCACCCTGGACTCCCCGTTGTCCCGAGCCCTCCTTTTGCATCGGCTCCGCCTGCCACTCCCGCTCACGGCAGCGAGATGCCGGTGTCGGCACCTTGCCGCTTGTCCACGGTCTGGTGTGTTGCGCCACTGTCCGGCACTGCCAGCGTGGATGGCGACTCAGCGCTGCTCAGCGACGTTCTTGCTGACTCTTCCGAGCAGCCCCCCCTCGTCAGCCGCATGCCGTGAATTGGTTTTGCTGCCGTGGCATTGGGCGCTTGCACTGGGACTGCGATGTGACTTGAAGTTTCAAAAAGGAGCGCGGAAAAAAAGGCGTGTGAGAAAAACAGCCACCCAAAAAAAACAAAACGGGCGGCAATCCTGTCCAAGCTCAGCGAGGTGGTGCCGGCACTCGGGCCCTTCGCCCGAGCATTTATGCGGACGATGAGGGGACCCTCCACGAAATCTCCCAAGCGGAGGGGGTCGAGCAGCTCATGGCGGCGGCTGCTCGCCTCGCACAGGGCGAGCGCCTGTTGGCGTTGTCGTTGCCACACCGGACCGGAGCGATCTGGGCACGTCCCAGCGGGGCCGCTCACCCAAGCCAGCCGCGTCTCAGCGCTCCGTCGCCGCCGCAGCTGCACGCACGCAGGGCGGCGGGGCGCCTGCATCGCTTTCGAGTGCGCGCACGAGCTGCTGGGCGACAAGGCACCGAGGCGCGCAACAGTCAACGCAGCCTCCTCACCCGGGCCTATGCCGGCTGATGCAGCTGCGACCCTTGCCCCAGACTCCATGCACATTGCCTTCAGGCGACGCCTCCGCCTGCCGCTACCATTGACCGCCCTGCATTGCGGCGGGACGGCGCTCCCGGCTGCCAAGGACAGGCCGATGCGTTGTGACCACTTCATCGCCTGCGTCGCGGCTTTGTGCTTGAGCGCGCGTGGGTGCAAGTCGCGCGCGAGGCGGTCGGGGTGGAGGGCCGAGCAGTGCGACAGCTGTGGCTGACCCAGACCACGGCGCCTGCCGTTGCTCCTGCGGATCGCCGCCGCTTGGACTTGGTGGTGTACGGGGCCACGCCGGGCGGTGAGGCACTCTGTTGTGACGCGACGCTATTCTCACCCCTGACGCGAGCGGGTCGCCCAGTCCCGGGTGCCGATGGGCGTGATGGGACCGCATTGGCGGCCGCGCGCCGCCGCAAGCACGCGCGATGTCCCGGGCTCCTGCGGGGAGGCCCGCAACGGCTCGTCGTGCTCGCGACAGAGGTGGGTGGAAGATGGGGCGAGGAGTGCCAGCGCTTCGTCCGCCAGTTGCTGCGCCTCCACGTTCGGAGGGCGCCTGCAACCCTACCTGCCACAGCGGGTCGCTACGCCCAGCCTCCTGGCAGCCCTGCGAAAGCCTCAGCTGCATGCCCGCAGTGGCGAAAATGAAGCGGACCTGGAGGCGGCCGCCGCGGCGGCTGCGCCGGGCTAGGCGGGGGGGGGCGAGGAGGTCGGCGCGGTACCGGCCCCGTTGGACGTCGCATCCCGCGGAGACCCAGGTTTCTGCCTCACTGACTTGGGCGACGAGCTGCGCAAATGCATGTGCACCCTGCAAAGCCTTCCGCCAGTCCGGGGAGCGCTGCGCCAAGCGTTCCGCGCGGGATTTGAAATGGTGCGGGATTCTCGGGATGCCGACACAGTCATCGCGGGGGTCGTCCAAGCGGCAGGTTGAGCCGCACCCGGCGAGGCCCAGGGCGGGAGAACGCCCTTTTGACGCAGGGGACGATACGCAGCGAAGAGCTGAGCGGGCAGTTGCCCTGGCGCACTTCGGTGAATTGTCTGCGGCGAGGGCGGCCCTCGGAGCCGCCCCCCTGGCCCCAGCGAAGCACTCGCGGTGTTGCGAGACCCTGTGAAGAGGATTGGCTGCCGGATTTTCGCCCGGATGGCGGGAGCATTGTCGTGAGCCCAACGGCTCCAGCCGCTGGACCGTCGGGATGCGCAACCGAACTCTTGCGAGTCCTGCTCGATGATGAGTCGTACACGGAACTGCTGTGTCACGCCGCCCAGCAGTTGGCGGAGGGCTGCATGCGGGGCGTCCTGTCGGTCGCTCTGCAGCGTGCCGTGGCAAGTTCCGTGCTCGGGGTTTGGACCATGCCACGATTCCCCGGCGCGCCGGACCCCCCTGGATGACGTCATTGGCATGACGCCGCCACTGACTGAGGCGGACGACTCGCCAACGACAAGTCCTGTGTGTGCCCCGACCACGCCCGATTCGCGCTCCCAGCCTGGGGCAAGCGACGCGACGTGCTTGTGGATCCAGTCGCGGTGGGGCCCAGCGCAGTCTCGGCCACAGCCACTTGCAAGCCCCCACCACCGACGCGTCCAGCCGCTCGCCGCGCTGCGACGCACAGCAGCCGGGGCGCGATAGCCCCGTAACCGCGTCAGGATCCGCAAGAAGTCGCAGGCCTGGTTTTTTTCCCCACGCAAACTCGTCCCGACTAGGCCCACTACATCACTACGTGCCGGCGCGTCACGGCTGCAAAGGCAGTCGGCTGGGCGCGGCCGCCTCAGCGAGGTCAAGGACATCGCCCAGCGCACTCTTGGATCTCATCACGTGCGGCGTCGAGGGGGCGGCCCATGTCGGTAGCCGCCCGGACGCCTTTGCCAACGCAGGCAAGGTCGCGCAGTGATGTCACGTGTTCCGCTTGCGAAGCGGTCGGACCTGGGTGTGAAGCCTCCCCAACCCGCGTAGGGGTCCCACCGGTCGCGGGCGCGTGGCAAATGCGTCAGCTGCGGAGCAGCAGAAGTTGGACTTAGGCAAACCACATGACAAGGAACACTAAGCAAGAAGGCAAGTGCGCATGCAAGTGCGGGTAGTCCTTCCTTTTTGGTCAGCTTTGCGAGCAGCGAGGTTCGTGTTCAGGGCCGGTCCCCAGCATATCAAAAAACCCATCCAAAAGCCAACACGCAAAGCGCCTGCTGGCGCTTTCGTGCCGACAGAGGTGCCCTTGCCATTCCTTTTGTTGCCCTTGCCGACGCCCTTGGCTTCCCGATGTTTGGCACCAGCTCGGTGACGACCTGTGCCGGGCGCGCGGTCACGGCGAGGGGAACGTTCACGGTGAGGCGTGCAAAGGCTGGTGCTCCGGCTGGGGCTGCGGTCTGGGGAGCGGCCGTCAGTATGGGGCGCGGGCGGGTGCGGCCCGTAGGCCATGGCGTGCAGTGCGCGGATGCAGCCGCGTAGGAGGTGGACGGCCGGAGCCTCATAGAGCTCCCCCAAGGAGCGCTGTATTTCATGGACTTCCAAGCAAGGCGGGCCTGCAACGACAAGCGGTGCGCAAGCGGGACATGGCGGCTTTGCATGTGTGGCTAGGGCACGTCCCGGGCTAGAGCCAAAAGCCTTGCAGCTTGCTAATGCGACGATTTCTTCTTCGCCCCCCCACGCAAAGCACCTGGTGACCTCTTGCACCGCTTGTAACCATTCGCACCGCGCTTCCCCTGTTTCCCCAACGTGAACTGGCGCGTGTGCCCTGTCCGGTGGCCGGGCTGGTTCGGGGCCGCGGCGGCGGCGCGACGCGCCAGCACGCGCAGGAGCACTCCGACCAGCAGCCCCACGCTAGCCCCAGAGGCGCAAAGCCCGGCGTAAAGTAAGTGGGCGTCGCTCCGCCGCAAGTCAAGGCAGCATGCGCTAGACTTTCCCGGCAGGTCGGGGCCAAGGAGGCCGCAAACGAGACTGCCGACTGCGCCGCAGACAAGCCGCGCCAGCACCATTGGCATACCATGGGTGCACAACGACAAGAACAGCTTGAGCGTATTTTGTAGGCGTCTCGCGCTGCGCTCCGCAGCAGTGGTCGCCTAGCAACCTTTTCTTGCAGGAGGTGCTATATCGTTGGTCGCTTTGTTCTTGCTCCAAGCGCTCCAAGTTATTTCTTGCGCCGCCCTCAAATGTAGGAGCTGGCAATTTTCCCTTCCGCGTAACAAGGCACTAGTCGCAAGCATACGGCTTAACGCTGCCATGCGCCAAAGCCTCGGCATTTTGGCGGGTCGGCATTTTGGCGGGTCTCTGTCAGGTTGCCCTCGGCGTTCACAGAGCGTTTGCGTCGCTTGCGCGTGAGCGCGCAACAAACGACTCGAGACAGGCGCGCCGCCGGGTGAGCGCCGCAGTTGTCGCTAGCACGTCGTGTGTTGTTCCTGAACTGAACCGCTCGGTTCTTTGTTTGATGAGGTAGCTGGCTGGGTGTGATGTGCGTGTGTTGTGCCTTGGCGAAACCAGCTGCAACAAAGTGGGGATCATGTCACGGCAAACATGCGCAGCATATGGAACATTCTCGATTCAGTGCCAACGCCACACCGACGAGCACGCAACCGCAGAGGCGAATTTTTCCGTTGACACCAGCTACGGTAAAAGCTTATTCTCAGCTGGTTAGCACGCTTATCGACATTGTGCGCACATCGGCATTGGAAGCATGGCACGCGCATCAAAGGGTGCCGCCACCTTACCTACATGCAAATGGTGCAGCGTGATTGCATTACAAGAAATCAAATGAGGTGTCAAAAGCAAAAAGGATGCCAGATAACTCCAGCCACTCGGCGCTAAGAGGGGTTTGGGTGTGTTCTTTGGCATGATCATCATGATCAGTGTATGTCATTTTCACACAAAAACTTGCGCAGCTGCAGGCCTTGTGCTCGTCGAGGATTATGTCCAGAACGAAGGCACTGCTGGCTTCCTCGCACAAACAATGCAATTGGGCTTGTATCCATGTCAGTCTGTCAGCCCATAACAAAATCGTTGGGCTTGCCCATAAATGTTGCTGTACACGAGTCACTGGTCACGTTTTGTCCTGAATCATGGCAGTGGTGCTGTTGTTGGATATGCTACAGCTGCTGAATGGAGCACATCATCCTTGATTTGAGGTCAAGCAGTGGGGCTTGTGAAGGCACGGCAGTGTTTCCGGGATCGGCATTGCTTCCTGAAGCGCGCAAACGCCAGATGTCAATGATCCTCAGGACAGCCAAACCCAAAGTGCCCCAAACATCCGGGGCAAGCACGACACGACTCCAGCACCAGGTCAATACGCGCGTTTCTGAGCCTTTATGAGGGCCTTTGCCGCGATCAATGATGTCTTGTTTTTTGGTTTGCGTGTGCTTTCGCGTTCAAGGTTTGGAAGGATGACGTGCATCTGCGCAAGAAGCCGGCCAAAGTACTCAGATGCATTGCCGAGCTGCCTGGCTATGTGTGTGAGGGCAACGTCCATAGTGGTGCATTCTTTGTTGAGGTTTGGAGCATGATGTCTCCTGACAGGACCCGGCTTGGCTTTTGTAATGCCGAAAGTTACTCACCATGTTGCCGGCAAGTGATCTTGGGCTCGCAGGAAAAATTTAGATTTGATGTCGGGGCCCTGAGGCAAGCTTTTGTTTCAATCGTTTATGGTTTGCTCATGTTTCAGGCTGGGAACATGGACGCCAGCGTCTCGCTCTCTTCAGCAGGGGCCTGTTTTAACTTGTGTGCCTCGGCCCTAGCGCTTGGATGAGTTTGGGTATGTTTCTTCGGTCTGAGGCCGCGCGCTCCGGACCCGGGAGAGTGCCAGATCCAACTTGCCAATAAACGTCCAAAGTTTCGGCTAGTCGCAGGTGCTTCGCACACACACGCCCTTGTTACGTGGTCATTTGGAAGGTACGGTGCCGTGGACACATGTGGACGGAATGGAGTGCACGCACCCTGTGCATGCACAAGGGTCGGCACAACAATGCTTTGACGCAGGCTGTCAAAAGTGTGTGGACTTCTTCGGAACATGCCAAGGTTCACGAGTCCGAAGTGGTCTCAAGCGAGGTCTAGCGCGTGCGCTCACCGCATTTACTTTCAGCTTTTGCTGTTGTTTCTTGTCGCTGCCGTCGTGGTTCCATGCTCAGGCGGCCGTGCCTGGCACAGGATCCACCGGAGGTGATTGAGATCGAGCTCGGGCCTTGCGAGTTCTTTTTCCCTTCGGTGAGCGGCGACATACAAAGTGCTTTGAGGAGCAAGCTGCCGTCTTCGTTTGGTGGTGAGAATCCCATGCATGCCTTGCTGGCACGTGATTTTGTTTTTTGTTGGCGGGACTTGTGCTCGGTCAAATGTCCCGTGGTGCGTCGTGCCGTGCCTTGGACAGGTTTGGCCTCCCAAGTGGTCGGTTTATGGCAAGGCAGAGGGTCGTTCGCATGCTCAGCAGGGAACCAAAAAGTCACTTGGGCAAGGATCGATCTCAGCTTCCGCATGGAGCTCAGTCCTTTCTTTTTTCTTGTAGCGGATTCCGAGAGCCGTGTTGCGAGTGTGCAAGGAACGACATCGGGACATGGACTCCAAAGCCCAACACGGATTTACGCCCTGGACCGGGTGCCCTGTACTGAGGGAGGCTCAGATGCAGTGAACATCATTGAACATCATTGAACTCTGACCAGCGCGAATTGGCCTTCCAGAGCTTGTGCTGCACTTGCTCTGGTTTTTGGGCATGTTTCGGCATTTTCGGCATGTTTTGGCTTCGAGGCTTCGAGGATTTGGCCAAACAGTGCCACAAAAATACCACCACACCCCACTGAGATACTACGCCTTTTCACTCAGCCTGAACTGGTCGAATTAGAATTCCTGCGCCATTGGCGATCGCGTCTGCACGGTTCTCTGGCCCGGCCCTTGGAAGTTCAGAAGTCCACTTCAGGACACAGGTCCCAGATGCCGTCTCACAAAGTCTCACCGCTGCCCGCAGCATCCGCAAGCTGAGGCGCAGCGCGGCGCGATGGGCTGCTCAAATAGTGCGCCCATCGAGCCAGAGCCGCCGGAAGAAGCCGTGTCGGAAACCAAATCCAGGAATGCAGACAAGAAGGTGCAGGGACCTCTTCATTCATAACCTGTTCGAGCTCTTCATGGACATGCGTCGTCTGAGTGCGTGTTGCCGATCCCTGTCAGGCGGCGCAGCTGGAGAACAAGGAGTTGGCACTAGAGAGAGAGAGAGATTTAGTTCATGGGTCCGAAAACCGGTGCACAGCAAAAAACGGAAGTTGGATCAGCAAAGCATGGCTGCAGGAATACCATGCACGAATGAAGTTCCTGTCCGAAGTTCCGCTGATGAAGCGTTTGCCCAAAGACGAGCACCCGATTGTGGCTGAAGCTTGCGAGGCGCCACGGTTTGCTTCTGTGATGCATATTTCAGCGATTCGTTTCACAGCGGCTCAGAGATGTTGAGAAGGTGTGCACCTTCGAGCCCGGCCACCGAATCATTCAGCAGGCCTCGGCTCTGCGGAGTTTGATTGAATCTGCCGAGCACCAGCACCTGTTCGCACCTTTACGCATCGCATCGCGCCGCGCAGGGTGACATCGGCGATGCGTTCTACGTGGTTCGCACAGGGGAAGCTAGCGTTCACGTAGAGAACGAAGATGGCAAGAAACAGGTCGCGATCCTCAAGGCTTCTCTCGGACCTGGCTGTTCTTGACAAATGTCATGCAACAGCTGCCGGCGTTTGCAGGGTGGAGACTATTTCGGAGAGAATGCGTTGCTTAGAGACGAGCCGCGACTGGCACCACGGATGCATAAGGTTTGCAAGTTTGGACCAGGGTCTTGCCTGTGAACTCAGAGGTCTAGACATGATTTCTGGCCGTTTGTGCAATACGTCTGTGATGGCCGTGCTTGCCGCATACCCCTTTCCGAACCCCTGGGGCCACGCGTGATTTCTTTGTGGCCGGGGAGCATCATTCAGGGCCTGTTGGTTTAGGAGCCGCTGTGCAGGCTACGATCGTTGCTGAGAGCAAGCTCGTAGCGTTGAGAATCACCCGAGAGAAGTTCGAGGAGCGATGGGGAGAAGGGTCAGAGGGGTTGCGGAGTCGGCAGAGTGATGCTCGGAGGAGCTGGGCCTGAACAACAAGCTCATGTTTGCGAACCGAAAGGCTGTCGGTGGCGGGCTGCTGACTCAAACGACTCCCGGCTGCACATAGAGGTGGCACAGTGGAGAAGGACGGAGAAGGTCTGGGGGTTGAAGGCATGCTTTGCGTTGAAGACGTTTGGAGCTTGAGACTTTTCATGAAGGAAGTCCAAGCCCCCAACCGAGAAGACGGGGGAGGACGTTGCGCCTTGGAAGCAGGGAGCACATCACAAAGCACCAAGAGCCAACCTCACGTTGCCTCACGTTGCAGCACGTTGCCCCACGTTGCCCCACGTTGCCCCACGTTGCCACACGTTGCCACACGTTGCCTCCGCAAGCTGGGTCCAGCTCAGGACCTCATTACACGTGCCCTGCACGAGAACGAAAACCTCGCCACCATGACCGCGTTGGACGATGCAAGGCACAGGGTTCCCGGATTCCCTGGCGCGGTTCAGTTCGATTTGCCTTCGCTCGAGGCTGAAGTCTTTCATCGACGTGATGTGGAAAGAGGAGGTGAAGGTGGGGGGGACGGATGGAGTGATATGGAGTGACATGGAGTGGGATATAGAGTTTCTCCCAAGCGTCTGATGCCAAGGCAGGCGAGCAGATCATTACGGAGGGCGACCTGAAAGCTGACTTCTTTTACATTGTGCCCCTTGGGCGCCAGAAGTGGAGAAGTCTCGGAAGAAGCTGAAATCAAGTGAAATCAGTCTTATATACCAGCGTTCTGTCTCACTGTTCGCTCTGTTAGGGCCTCGGGTGAGTTCGACGTCAAGATTGCGGACGCTTGGTGCAGACTACGGTAATCTCCCAACACCCCCCTCCACCCCCCTCCACCCCCCTCCCACCCCCCCACCTCTCTCTCTACTCGTATCGCTCTTTCCCTTTCCCTCTCCCTCTCCATCTCTCTTTTTCTTTATTTATCTTTATCTTTCGGATTTGCCAAATGGAACCGTTTGTGGACAACTCGCGCGAAGGAGACCGACGCCGAAGGCAATCCGAAGGCTGTCATGGAGAGCAACGCTTCCAAGAGCGTGACTCACGTCACGCCAGGCGGCCGCTGCAGCAAAGCAATGTTGAGCAGCTGAGCCATGAAGCGCCCCTGAAAGCGTGGAGAAAGCAATCAGGCAAAAGCATGTGCAAACGCATGAGCAAACCGCAAGGTGCGGGGAAATTCGGGGAACAACCTTGGCAGGTGGCAGCTTCGGCGAATTAGCTTTGATGTACTTCGTCCCTCGGGCGGCGACGGTGGTGGCTACTACCGACTCTGAGGTTTGGGTGATCGCAACTTGGATCAAGCGGTTAGATGTCGGGAAAAGCTGGTGCTGGGCTTGCTCTTGCCTGTGGCCTGGAGGGTGGTGAATTCTCTGGTTCCAGTGATCTTTGTTTGTGAGGGGGAGAGGGGGGTGGTCTCCAAGCAAGCGCATGCAGAAGAACGCGCGTTGGCTTGAAGGCACTGCACGCACGCTTCCTTAAACGGTTCTTTGGGATTGGGATGCCGGGAGTGACCCGAGGATCGGGCGAACTTCAAGAACATCCTGATGAAGGCCAGGGACCTGAGCCACCTCAGCCATCTCAGCCGCCTCGGCCACCTCAGCCACCTAAGCCAAAGCCACCTCAGCCACCTCCAGCATGTCCAATCTGTCCTGAACATCCCGTCATCCTTGTGCGAGCTGCATTGCATGAAGCTGCATCAAGCCGCATCAAAGTTCAAGTTTGCTAAAGTGGCTGAGCAGACCTAGAGGCTCCGCAGGAGACGTCAGGTCGAGGTTGCAGAGGTTGCAGAGGTTTGGCAATCCTGCGGGGGTCTGGAGTGTCACTGTGTCACGACGTTGTGGTGTGCAAGCTGCGGGAAGGCATCGGACTCCAGGATAAAGGCCTGGACCTCAGCTGGAAGTGTCGAAGGATAAGCTGTTCAAGATTATGCTGTCACAGTCCGTCACCTCAAAAGACGAGCCTCAGGAGTACGTGAAATACCTGGACCAGGTGTCCGTGCTGGACTCCCTATTAGCAGAGGAGAAGAAGCAAGTGGCAAATGCGCTTGTAGAGAATCTTGGCTTGGATGCTCCGTGCAGCACAGGCCAATCTCATTAGCTAGAGTCTCCCATTCCGCAGTTTCGTTTGTCATTATGTTTCTGCTTTCTGCGCCTGAGGATGCATTTCGAAAAAAGGGATGTAATCATTCAGCAGGGCGAACCTGGCAACATGTCTGCGCCTGAGCTTTGTCAACGAATCTGCTCGGATCAAAATGAATGCCCTTATGATGCCATGGCCGGCAAGGTTCTACATCATGTATGAGGGTGAAGCGGCGTGGCGGCATTGTTTCCACAGCAAACCTCGGACCATGATTTCAATGGCCAGAGTAATGATAGACCTCTGGGTGAGCTAGTGTTAGTCTTGCCAAGCTGCCAATGAAGGTCGAGATAATCAAGGAGTGCCATGTGCTTTTCGGTGAGATCGAAGCACATGTGTGCTAGCTCTCGAGTTGGCACAGCAGTCATGTGCAGGATGGAGAAGCAGTGGCCACACTGGAGGCAAAGATTAAGAGTGGACTCTGGGCTGCGTGCAAGAGATACCTCACGAAAGCAAAAGTTCTGGTTGGAGAGGCATGAGCACAATTACAGCCCTAGGAACCGTGCAGTTCTTTGGCGAGAAAGCTCTTCTCGAGAACGAGAACCGCACGGCCACTGCACGGACCCCAGCCTTTCCGCCGGTTTCAGGTCCGGCTCGCGGTTTCTGCAGAAGGGGCTCAGCAGAAGTCCAAGGCTCGATGCGCTAAGAAGTAAGCTAGTGCAATGACGCCTGACACATCCTGACGCCCGACACCCTTGCCATACACAAAGTGTTTTGCCAGTGACGTGGAAAGTGTGCGCTTCGACATGGGTGAGGTGGTCGTGAAGTCCTCCTCTGCCAAGTGCCTGGTTTTAGATCGCGAGTCCTTCGACCTCCTGCTTGGCCCTCTGAAGGTCCCGGGATGTGTGACGTGTGGGGATGTTTTTGATCTCACCTGTTACGCAATCGTCTAACCGCCCAAGAGCTTAGCTTAACCATGCGATGAAGCGTGTGGCGACAAAGAATGCAACCATTCGCCATCATTCTTCCACAGAGCCTATCGCCATCAGCAAGTTAAGCGCCAAACTTATAATGCAAGCTATTCCGTGCTGATGCGAGATGATTAGGAACTGCTACGAGCGACTTAGCCAATGCTGTACTCAACTCCTCAGCCATCGTTGCAACCATTGTTGCAACCTCTTTCTGGGTCCTTGCTGAAACCTGAAGCTAACTACTATTTACTATGAACACGAATGGCTGGACATTACCGCGTTGATGTTGTTAGGATGTTATCCTGTGATGTAGGAATGGACGTGTCTTGACCTAGCCTCATATTCGGCGAAATGGCAACATCATTTGCAGAAAGACATCTGGCGCGTAAGAATCGTTCATGCTGCCCGCGTACCTGGACAGAGGTACGGTTAGGAACTTATGAGTTGGGGTTGGCTCTAGAGAGCTTTGCCTTGCAGGGTAGATGCACAAGAACTGAGGAAGGGTTGTCTGAAAGTGCTGGTGGAGAGTTAGTGTCAAAGAGCGTTGCGAGACACGGTCCTGCCGAGCTGCCCTGGCTCATCTTGGATGTGTGGTCGCATTTCCATGGATGGGCGTTAAGTGGTTCAGCCCTTCACAACCTCAGGGTCGGCAGAAGGAGCGTTTTCAAGCGAGCCAGGACATCATCGACGCTGTTCGGGAGGGTCGCGAGCGCCCGCAGCACACAACTGCGAATCCAGCAGCAGCCAGCGGCTCCTTGGATCAACCGACGATGCTAAAGCCACTGAATCCCAACATGTTCTTGTGGAACTGTGAAGACTCGGCTGCCCGAGTGCGCCACTGAATCTCAAAGAGTCCCCGGACTCGACGAACCATGGCGCACCACAATTAGGATGCTGGAGTCCGAAGAGCCAAAGAGTAAGAGTCCTAACCGGTCCTCACCCTTCATTCCAGACTGTCCGATGTCCCATGCTGGGAGCTGTCTCCAGGGTCCTTGGCCCAGAATCGACAGCGGATTCGACGCAGCGAGCTGAAGCGCATCGGCCTCCTCGGCTGCGGCGGCTTCGGAGCTGTGGAGCTGTGGGAGCACACCAAGACAGGCAAGCTTTGCAAGTGTTGGGCGAAGCTTCAAGCATGATCAAGCATCAAGTCAGAGACTCCACGATGTTTAGCCACATGCCCGGCCCCTTGACCTTTTTGTGTGCCAACGTCAGGCGACACCTACGCACTCAAGGCCATTAGCAAAGGCTACATTGTCAAGACCGGCATGCAAGAGAGTCACTTGGACCCCCTTGGCGACACAGAAGAGCCAACTTGATGGACTCAACAAGAGACGGTGCTTTTTTCGACAGCAGTTCTCTCAGAGATGTGTTTTCTTGAGGCATCATGAATGAGAAGAACATCCTGGAAGCTCAGATCTGCATAAAGTCGACGTAGGAAAGAAGGTATAAGGTGGTGAGATGGCCCTTTCGAATGGCCCATGCTTCGTCCAAGGCAATGACCAACTCCTCCTTCATCACGAAGCTGTATGAAACGTTTAATGGGACACAAACGCATCTTGTGTTTATTAAAAGAGACGCTCCTTCGTGGGTGTGTGTGTGTGTGGACGGTGCAAGAAAAATGGGTGCTGAGTTCAAAGCTCAGGCTTTACTTCCTCCTGGAACCATGTTTGGGTGGCGAGCTTTATGCCACTTACATTCGGTGACTTGGCGTGATGACACGTAAGCCGACGTAAGCGCTGACGGGAGCATTGGTGAATGCTTGGAGACTCTCGAGGAAGGGCCTGTATGGCTCAGACAGGCACTGCAAGCTGCAGCCTCAGCGTCCTTAGACTTCGGCAAGATCAAAACAGGTGCAATGCCATATAAAGTCATGCAAAGTCCGCATCGCGTTGCAAAAAGGTTTTATGCCGGGTCCGTGGTCTTTGCCTTCGAACACATGCATCAAAGACGGATTATCTACAGGGAGCCTCATTGGAGATTTTTTCAGCTCAGCCAGATGCTGATTATGGAGGGGGAGAAGGCCGAGTAGGTGCGTTCAGACGACGTAAACGGCACATGCACAGCTTCTTCTACCTACCGTGGCGTAGAGCTGCTTTGACACTCCCATGCCAAGCTGAGGACTTAAAGCCTGAGAACCTCCTGCTGGCAGACGATGGCTTTTTGAAGTTGACGGACATGGGTTTGGCAAAGTTTGCAGCGGCCTCGGTCGGCTTGAGAAGTCGGCCAACGGCCCGGCCAGTTTAGCATGTCGATTCTCATCTGTGCTTTGCCATGAGGTGGTTGGAAAGACGTATACAACTTGCGGCACTCCTGACTATTTCGCTCCCGAGCTCATTGCATCAACGGGACACACCAACGCTGTTGGCGGCTTAGAGCCCCCCAAGCGGGGCAGCTGCAGACCTGCTTGTCGATATGGGGCTTCAGTTGCATATTGCATCGAAGTGTCTTTCAGACGTGTTAGGTGGATTGGTGGACCCTGGGCATTCTGATTTTTGAGCTGATGCGGCTGGCCTATTTGGCTCTGCCAGTTGCTCTACCATAGGAATCTCACAGCCAGGGCTTGAGAGAAGCATCGTTTTTGTTTGCGCTTTTCTTTGTGTGAGGTCAGGCCATCCGCCGTTCGAATCCGCGTATCCGATGCCTCACAGCTACAAGAGCTAGGGCTTGGTAAGGCATTCTAAGCGAAGGAAGCACACGGAGCGAGACTCGCAACTTGCCAAGGCAGATCTATGCCAAAGTTACCAAAGGTATTGGCAAGGTTGCTTTTCCGCTACTTGGCTCCTAGAATAGAAGGTCTAGCGATCGAGTGCTTTTTGCTTTGAAGATGTTGCAAATACTGGCAGGGGCGTGATGAAGGGACATTGTAAAAACCTTGTGGAGCCTCAGCTGCATAAGTCAAACTGAAGATGAAGGGCAACGGTCAAGTTTTCCAAGTCGCGAGGAAAACTTGCTGAAGCACGACCCGTCCGATCGATTGGCCATGCGGAAAGGAGGAGTCGGATTCCCAGGATTTTGAGGGGCTCCGACCTTCTGTGCTCCACCAAGAGATCTTGCCAAGGTTGCCAACATCAAGTCACACCCCTGGTTCGAAGACATGAATTGGGACCAGCTAGAGCCTCCCGTCAGAAATCGAGGATGTAGGAAGGGATTGCTTCTTGTCGAGAACTTCCCGAGGAAAATGGAATGTCCCGCGCCCTACAAGCCGGCTGTGCGGAGCAGAAAAGACCTGTCGAACTTCGTGGCAAAGAAGGAAGATGCCCCCAAAACCTTAGAGCCACTTGGATGCACACCTGTGTGGCTCCAGCTCTTTGCTTGCGCACCTTCCCCTAGCATTGTTCCCGCATGCGGGTCAGATAAGATAAGATAGTCGCCAGTCGCCTGATGAAGTCCAAAAACAGTTTGTGGTTCTTCAAGACTAAATGACGAGATGCGAAACGGGTGGGAAAAATGATGAGATGAGATGAAGCGGTGGCTGTTCAGATTGAGATGTAGATAACTTGAGCCGTGTGCCGGTGGCAACGTTGAGCTGTGTGTGTCTCTGTGTGCGTGTGTGTGTGCCGAATTGGGTTTGTTGCAAAGATGCCTGAGTCATAGCGAAGCCTTGCTGCGCTCGACCGCAAGCATCTTCAATGCAGGTACATCGATCCGGGAACTGGATGGGACAAGGACTTTGCGACTTCGTACTGAGGCCGTGACAGCCGTGACAGCCGTTCGAGCAGTGACAAGTTGTTGCTAGATGGTGACGGCACCGGGGCTTGCACAGGCGATCACCATTGTTCTCCTATCCAGACAGAGTGGCTGAGCTTGCGTCACTTGTGACATCTCGCGATTCATGGTGCATGTTGTAGTCTGCTGGAGCTGCAAGATGTCCTTAGGGTACTTCGGTTCTGCATTAGCCAGCAAGATTTAGTTTTGGTCCAGCGTGTTGGATGCAAAGGCCCTGCAGCAAATTCAAAAAGACGCTTGTTTTGCCAGAGGCCAAATCACGCGGATTTTGACTTCAAGTCAATGTTAGTGTCAGTGCCAGAGAATGACTGGACAGATGCCACCCGCATCCCAGTAGAACCCATACTCAGAACCAAAGCAAATGATAGTGACCTTGCTGGTCCAGTCTTGGCCACAAGAGCAACGTACCAGCAACATCTTCGATCAAGTCGAAGAGCTGGAGCTGGTTTTCTTTAGAGAAAGTGCTTCTGTGCTCCCGGTGTAGGGTTGCAAGGTTTGGGCAAGCGGCGGGTTTTGAAGAATTGGGGTGGCAACTTGAGAAGCAACTTGAACTGGTAGGTACATACAGCCTCGACTGCCCCCCGGGGCAAGTTCGCAAGTCCAGGTGGAAGGCTCGGCCCCCCAGATTCTTTGAGAAAGGTTGAGCCTGGGTACAATGCCGGTGATGCAATCTGAGGCCACCACACGGAGTGGTTGCACTTGGGGGCGCCGCCTCAAGAACTTGCACCCCGAGGAGCCCAAGCATTCCTGCCGGAGCCCATCTCTCGATTGGCACTTCGTCAGGAGCGTGCCTATATCACTCAGACGAGTGGGGCACGAATGAGCCCCGGGCTGAATCTCTTTAGCCGTTGTCAACCCCAGGCTTCACCTGTGAACGTGCAGGCTACGGCGAGTGGATGCGATACCGGCCAGGTCTCGAGTGCATGGGGTATCATGCGGTATTGATGTCCAGTGGCGTTCCCCGAAAAAAAACCCTATACCATCCTAATGTCCTCATGCTTGCAGGCGGATAAACGTGCTTCGCAGACGGGCGTTGACAACAGAGACTGCTGCAAAGCAGCAGTGCTTGAACCTGTCTGGCAGTTCGGGGATAGTCGAGATGAAGTTCAGGGGTAACCGAGTCTGTAAACATTGCATATGTCAAGATTTTGTCGTGTTATATATATATATATACACACGCACACTCTGGTACCCCCCCCCCCCCGTGACCTGCCCTTTGTCGCCTTGTCTCAAGTCACCCAGCTGCACTGCAAGCAAACTCGGTGTAGCGGTTTTTTCCTGGCGTAGACTAAAATACAACCAAATCCGCATACACGTAGTAAAGCCAAAATACCAAGACCAAAACAACCAAAAACCAAAACCAAAAAAACCAAAAAATCAATTTTCCGGAACTCTTGGAGAAGCTACGTAGGGATTCCTGAGAGTTCCGGGATTTTTTTTTTTGGTTGGTTCTTTTGGTTTTGGTGTTTTTCTTCTTTTTGGTTTATTTTGGTTTCTTGGTTCGCCTTTACGAGGCAATAACTACGCATTTTTAAGTGTGCTTACGCAAGTTGTGCTTTTCAGAAATAGTATACAAGTGGTCTTTTGAGTGCTTCCGAATTTTATTCGTTTCGTTATTATGTAACTAGAACCGCTTCGCTTCTTTTTCAACTAATGCTTAGTGCATCTTTTGGTTGTATTCAAGTGTAGTAGACCTTATTCAGCCATTACTTGGTGCTCTGGTAGCTAGATTCGCATATATAATATTTGCCTAGTAAAAGCAATAACTATCTAGAAGAAGCATTTGCCATGCTTGTCTTGAGAAAACGCATTTATTGCTTAGTATTGTTTTCTGAAAAAGTGATTCCTACTCGTCCAGGGATACTCCAAAACCCTACAATCCAAACTTCACCAGAGATTCTCCTGAAAAGGTTGCGCTTTTGGATGTTTTTTTGAATTTGAAAAATTTGCTTGTGTATGGCCTTCACTAAGTACTTTTCTAGGATTCTTGTGCATGGTTGGTTAAAATGCTTTTCAGTGGTCTTTAGGGAATACTTCAGAAACCGTTGTTTCATCGTTATGTAAGTAGAACCGCTTCTATTTCCTTCATTTTTTTTTTGAAGGTTGCTTGTGCATTGAATACTTTGTGTAAGTAGAACCGCTTCAATTTCCGTCAGTGTCTATTTCGTACTTTGATTGAGTATGGTCCTTTAAATAGTATTCACTTGAGTCAAGTTGGGCTATTTGCTGAAAAAATGCTCTAGTAGTTAAATTCGCATAGAAGGATTATTTCAAAAATAAAGACTGTTTCATGAATAGGTAAACATAAGGTATTTCAGTGGACTTTTCAAATAGTATTTGATTAATACTTTGCCTAGTACAAACACAACTGCATAAATACACTAGTTGCTCAACAAGACATTATTTGCCTTTAAACCACACTTTGGCACATTTTGGTTGAGCATGGTGGTTATTTCGCATTTTGGTTGAGTATGGTCCTTTAAGAAGTATTCACTTGAGTCAAATTGGGCTATTTGCTTAATTATTACTCTAGTAGTTAGGTTCGCGTAGAATGATTATTTCAAAAAACGTTTCATGAATACAGAAACAAAAGGTATTTCAGTGGACTTTTCAGATAGTATTTGATTAATACTTTGCCTCGTACAAACACAATTGAATACATACATTAGTTGCTCAACAACACATTATTTGCCCTTTAAACGCACACTTTGCCATACTTTGGTTGAGTATGGTGTGTATTTCGTATTTTGGTTAATTATGCTGACAGTATTTGATTAATACTTTGCCTCATACAAACACAGTTGTATAAATAAACTAGTTGCTCAACAAAACATTATTTGCCCTTTAAACGCACAACTTGCATAGACAAACCACAGATCTAAACATCTAACAACAGCATTGTCCGCTTCAGATTCAAAATGCAGATTAATCCAATGCTGGCTTATCGGGGTCTGTGAGGTGGGTGTCCCAATAACTGTCCTTCATTGCCCGGTGATTAACTACGCGACTCTTGGGCCTTCGTTGTTCTTTTTTGTTAGAAAGGCCGAAAAAGGGTAACTAATATCTATATCTGTATCTATATCTATATCTATATATATATATATATATATCTATTTCTATATCTATATCTATATCTATACCTATACCTATATCTATATCTACGTATATATATATATATATATATATATATATATATATATATTGAGGTCGTCATGTTTGCATGACCCGCTTACTGCCAGGCTGTCTCACGCAGCAGGCTTAACTGCTCCATGGTCTCACGTATCCTACATCCCAAGCCTCGCAGCACACATACAGGCACATGCAGCGCAAGTGTGGTGGTTTTTGGCCGGGGTGTTGCCCTACGTTGTTCCCGGACTCTGCAATGACATGCCGCTGACGTTTGGCTCCAGTCTCGTCAGCGCAGCAAACCCCAACAACGTGGGGTGAAGGCCCCTCCTGGGAAAGGTTTGTAGCTTCGCTCGGCCGAGCCGAGCGAAGCGCAGGATAAAAGTGTCTCTCTGTCTCTCTATCTCGCTCTCGCTCTCGCTCGCTCGCTCTCTCTCTCTCTCTTTTTTTCTCTCGGTTTCTCTCGGCCATGTGCTTGGCACAGCAGCACAGCGGCACTGCGCAAACGGCACAGGGCGAAGAGCGTGGATGGCGAATTCCCAAGGTTGCAAAAATCCTCTCATGTCCTATGCCAGGCCACTTTCCCCGAAGACCATGCTGCCTGTGGAGCCCCGCCTGAAGCCTTTGTGTCCGATGCTTAAAACAATCTCGTCTTTACACCATGGCACCATTGGTCCCACAGCCATGCGCGGCTTGGCGACTTTGGCTTTGTGCAAAGGTGCCACATTCATCCACGTCTTGGATTCGAACGAGGGCAAGGATGTTGGCAAGGCAGCGTCCGGGCTGCTTTCGGCAGGTTTGCCTCCCATGCCCCCACAGGGATAGTTTTAAAAAGGCTTCACTTGTCATGTCCGGGGCATTCAGGGTTCACGGGGTCACGCCTTGGCAAAAGCCCACGGTCGTAGTCACGAAAGGAGGCTTTCTTTGGGGGGCTTGCCTCAGGACCGGAAGCTACTTCGCTGTCACAGCTTCAGCGGCTATGCCCTGGCCCAAGAATCGCGATACATGGGCACAGGTGATGGAAACAAATAAGGGTGCGCGGAGCAGGCTTTATGTGCTTGAACGGCCTACCCCGAGTAAGACTCTGATGATGAAGCCCAGGAAAAGCAACAGGCGTTTTTGTGTCATTTGGTTTTTCGACTGCAGTCTTCGCCTCGGTCTACCCATCCAGCTGCAGGTTCCGTATCACCTCGAGCAGGAAGATGGAGACATTGCAGACACCATTCCGCCGCTTGTCGAGACTCTGGGCAGGTGACAGCATGAGAACTCGTCGCAGGCTGCATAGGGAAGAACAATGAAGAATATGTGGTAATTGGGATTAGGCTGTGAGTTCGCTGTCCCCCAGTTTCGTGTCATTGGAGTTAAATCTTTCGTCATTCGGTCCGGTCAGTAGTCCTGACGAAGACGAGGCCTGGCTTTGTCTAATCATGTGCAGGCTCGTGCCCTGAAGGTTGCTTTCGATTTTGTGCCTCAGGCTTCCTGTGTGAGCAGCAAATACCGCCAGTCTGACGACGTACCCAACCGAACAATTGCTGCATAATTCGGTAACAGACAAGACTTCGTGGAAACCTTGACCCTAATGTTTCAAACGTTTATATACTCCATCCGGCAACCCTGAATGAACACGTACTTCATGGCAGGTCCAACTGTTCCAATGGCAGCAGTGCGGCCACACCTGACACGACGGACATCGGGGACGAAGGCAGCAGGGATCTAGGGCGGGCTCTTCTCGGGTGAGGTCCAACAGGGTCCAACCCTATCCTCCTGCTGTGCTGCGTGCAGAGCTTTGGTCTGAACGCGATGGCGCATCGTGTCAGCGCTCTCTGCAGGCTACG